TACATCCTTAAATAAACCCTTAAAAGGCCTGCAAAAAATTAGCAACACAAGCAAGAAGAATCAGGAAAGCAGTTTTAGATAGATTTCCCTTTGTATTTCCCAAACAAGCCTGTAATTTGCACTACTTGTGAACTGGAGACTAAAGTCACCACTAATTTATTATTATTATTTTCAATTTTCTCACATGAGTGGATTTTTGTTAGGTAGAGCAATTAAAGACTCACAATAAACACCCTAATACTCCAATTTATTGTTATTGCCTAAAAAACCAATGTAATTAAAACAATCAGTAATGGATTTTTCAGCTGGAACAATATTCTCTCACATGTGAAGTTATCAATCATCCGATTATTTTTAATTCTGTGCTTAAAAAGAAGCTTCAGCTTACAATTCACTGCTTGCATTTTCTTTTCTTAGTTAGACCGCTGATGGATTTTGGATAAGTCACCGTGTGTAATATTGCTTTGGACACATTTTGATGTCAGAGAATAGCAATTTAAGATGTTTTAGCACTATGTTTTGCAAATAAGCTGTTCTACATTATTACCCATGAGTTCAATACATGAATAGATGACCGCCTCCTTTTAGAGAAGTAAATCTGTCAGTCAAGTCACATAGTGTGGTCCAGTTTGGTACATCTATTTTGTTCTTCCGCATCACATATACAGAGCACCATCTTTGATAAACTATAGACAAAATAATTTTAAAATATTTTGGAAGTTAAAGAGGATCTGAATTTTAAGTCTTGACTGTATTACATTTGATCTTGAGAAGGAATTCCAGAAAATTGCTTTATGTATGTCCTCATGTTTAGTTAGCAAGCCTTTTTTAATTGACAACAGGAAGCTAGAAAAGTTTATTTTAAGTGATAGTCTGGGTGCATCTGCTTAGAACTGAAGGATGCCGAGACTAGAGTTTCGGTTTTTTTCAAATGTGAAACGATAACTAAGCATTTAATACTCTATACATATGAAGTTATCTACCCACAGTATAAAGATGCTCTCAGATGCTATTGTCTTTTTGATAATGAAGTGGAAACAGGAGATGTAATCTGGTTCTGTTTATTGGAAATAAAAAAGAAATTGGGAATCAGAAGACCTGAACTTTAGCTTCACTGTCAGCAAGAGCAGAAATGGCTATTTAAAAAAAAACACAACCGAACAGTGTCAAGGATCAGTGAAATAATACAAAAAGAATTGAACTTCCAATTTCTGAGGGTATTTTCTACCTACTACATTTCATTAAAAATTAATGGGAAGACTAATGTGTATAGAATAATTAAAGACACCAAAATTGGTCTATTTTAGAAGGAAGAAGCAGGAGTAAAGAAACGATAAGACTGGCACTGAATACAAATAACAGAATGGTTTTTCAGAAGAGAAGAGGATGTGGCACACAGCGTGATTTCAATGTTTATATTTGTCATGTTCTGTGAACTGTCATCACAGGCCCTTGCTTCTTTAAGCACATGCTTGTTTAATCAAGTTACTAGTGTTGACTTTTGAAGTGCTAAATCAATTGCTGATTACCAAGTGTTTCTGTGACCACGCACTAATCACTAAAGGAAGAGCACAGTCAACAACCTATAAAACAGGAAAGCCATTTCAGCACATCTGGCAAGTGCTGAGAAGTACAGTGTGCAAAGAAACAAACAGAAAAAGGAAAGCATAAGATAAGAAAATCCAATCAATTTAAGCATAAATAGAAGCAACCTCACAACCATCCGTAGTTGGCTTGTGAAAATGAACATTTCTTTACAACTTACTGTGATGTCAGTCAATGGCACATGTGCTTTTATCATATTGGATATAAAGTATAAGGGCCTAAACTTCCCGTTGATCATTAACTGATCCCTCTTTAGACCTCAGCACACAGAATAAAAGCAAACTGGACTGACAGATAAGGAGTTATACCTGTATCAAATTAGCTAAATATAAATACATCAAATTAGTTATGACGTCTAAAAAAGCTTCAGAAAGCTCTAGCTTGGCAATCGCTAGTGTATAATGGCTAGTGTATAGTGTATGGCACTGTATAATTCAATAACATAAATATGAGAGCTGTGAAAAAAACTAAACTTTATAGTTTTATAAGCCTGTTTTAAATCATGAGAGTGATTGTGTTATGTTCGTAGTATGTAACATGAAGAGTATCTGCAGGGAAGCAAATTTTCCCTCCATCTAACCAAAAGTGCTTAGGAATTGACTCAGATAAGGTATTATTCCCCATGCTGGATATTCTGTTTCATTTATGCAAGCTATTCTATTTCAGTATTTAAGAAAATACTATCATCATCAGATTTGAAAATGTTACTCCAACAAAATGACCATACTAGAACTGCGATTTTTCTCTGCTATTTTTTAAGAAATTGAGCAGCAGTAGTACAGATATTTTTAGCAATGTGGAACTTATAGGTTTTAAGTTTAAAGTCAGAAAAAAAATATATTTTAAAATAAAGTGGGTTTTTTCATCACAGAAATATACAAATAGAGGAAAAAATTGTTTACATTGCTTCTTTTTTGTGGGTTTTGGTGTTTTTTTTTTCACCAATAGTAGCCGAAACTTTGCAAAGGGATGCTTGAAATGATAGTTGATTTGAATTAAAATCATATAAAAGTAATTGCAACCTATGACAGGCAATTGATTGTCTCATGAATTCTTTCTAATTTCCTTCTTTTGTATATCTTTGTCGCTCACATAGCAGAAGAGCAGCTATGTATTATCAAATCCTATCCAATGCTATTCCAGGCACTCATCAAGCTATCTTAAAAAAATAAATCCTGCTTCCTCTTCCCTGCACTGAACTGTCACTTCATAACCTCACTATTCCATTTCTTCATTTATTTTCAACCTGTTGCACTCATATACACTTACTCTTACGCTTGCACTATTAAGAGCTTTCATTTACAATGTACACAAACTAGTTTAAAACAGGCCTGCTTGAGTGATGCCTCTTGGTAAGGTACAAAAGTTGATAGTGTTTGGTGGATACAGTTACTTTCACAGATTTGAGAAACACATTTTCCTGAAAACGTTTCCTTTTTATCATTGGCTGCACAACTCATCAAAGCATCACATAAGCAGAAAGTAGCTGAATCCAAACTCCTGCTTGAAGCAGGACCCAATTAGCTGATGCTGTCGAGGACCATGTATGTCCAGGAAAGTTTTTAATATCTTCAGGAGTACAGATACTTTGTATCTCTCTGTGCAACTTGTTCCAATATTTATTCAAATAATTTATATAAGGTTATTTTGAGGCAGAATCAATTTAGATATCAAACTGTTAGATGCTTTAGATATCAAGGCTGTTAGATGCCTCTTACTGCAATTCTACTCACGAAGAAACTCAGAAATTTGTGACAGGAAACATTTGTGTAGTTTTTTTCAAAGATTAAGAAGTAAATAAAGCAATGAAATTATATGTGAAAAATAATAGCTGGCAGTGATTTATTAAAATGAATTAATATTTTAATACTAGTAATTATCAATAATTATTATATAATTTTGTGGTAGCATAAGTTATATTTAAGCAATATGCATATTCATTTTGCCAAAAGGAATTAACAATAAAACATCATCTAGGGAGAGAATACAAAAGTCTATCAAATTTACAAATTTAAACCTTAACTCATTAATAAGGAATTAGATACCACTGTCTTAAAAGATAAAATAAATATACATACGCACTACACATCCTACAGGAAATATTTTGATCATTGCTGATATTTTTAGGTTTCTGCTAAATACAATTATGAAGTTGTTCACTAATTTAAATAAAAGAGAAATGCATCTGTCACAAGAGACTTAAAAGCCTGTTTAGCTGAATTCAAAGATATATTCAGTTATTATGTTCATAAATAAAAACACACTAGCTGCTACCCTAATTAAGGAAAACAAAAAATTAAGGAACCCACTAAACTGATTTTAAATCTAGTGATAAAGTTGATTATCTTTCACTGAACTCCTCATAAGTGAGAACACATACATAATTTACAATTTTCACTGTGGGAGTTATGCAGTATTTATAATTTATGGGTCTCTCTTCTCAAAAGAGATTTCCGTAAAATGAAATGCCAGTTCCTCATGGGAACAACCATCTAATCAGTACCAAGGGAGTATATAGACACTACTGAAAAACCATCACCATCATAAACTTATTTTTACATTGGCCAAATTTCTAAGCACCCACTTAAAGCGAAATGATGTATATTGAGGGCAGAAACAAGATGGCCCCAAATGCACACCTTAAAAGCAGTCCATCTTTTTCTAAGATTTTGCTCTATGTACATTAAGAAATTTTACTTATTTTTACAGCTACCTAACGCTGCATAGATAGAATGCACTTGTAAGAGGGGAGTCATTAGGATCAGTCTGCAATGTAACCTGCATTTTTAGAGGTCCTGCCTAGACACAAGTAACTGTCAGTCATGTAAAAATACTTTTGTCGTGAGATCCTATAGAAACTGCAGAAAGCATTACACATTTCCAGTGATAAGGAACCTGCACATGCTCCTTTTTACCTGCGCACGCAATGTTAGTTCCTGAGACCTAATGACTCCTTTGACACAGGCAAAATTTTTAAAAAAAATCATTTAGAAAATGTCAGTTGTAAGTGACAATATGCTTGTGACGGAAAGTTCCCAGAAAAATCCAAAGTAGCATTCTTGAACCAGATTCCTTTAGGTGCAGAATAGAATTTTTCATCCTTAGGTAGCATGCTTAGATGTCTACTAAAATGAGTATTTACTGTCTTTAAGCAGCAACGAATAGGTATGACAAGGTGATTAAAGAAGCACAATTTGAGAGATTGGAATTTGCACTTTTGTTGGCTTGTCACAATCTTACTGTTACTTCAATACTGCATTTCAACAGATATGTTACATGATCATTGTATGTTAATCACAATCACTGAAAACAGAACAGATGCTAATAATCATCATTACACAGTGATTATAAATTTAGAGTAACTTCAGATAGAAGAGTTGTGTTCATGTACTTACTGGAGATGCATGCACTTGTGTTATTCTTAACTGGTTTTCCAAATCTTGAACTTTATTTTTCAACTCTGTGTTTTCAGTTTCTAATTCTTGAATCTACAAAGCAAGTGGTTATTCCAACAGTTATTGGGGTATTCATTCATTTCAACAGCATCCATTAAACAGTCTAATCTGAGATCTGGTGATTTACAAGCATTGTTTAACTAGTTATCCGATTACAAAAAAATAATTAAACTTAAATTTCTTTATCTTCTGTATTTCAACCTTGCTCTTCTCTTTAGTGGCCTTGCAAGTGGCAAGACTTAAAATATCATTTCACAGTTATCAGGTATTTTTTCAGTTTTCTTTTTTTTAGTATCTGCTGCAATTATTTGCAATCCAAGAATAATGCTGGAAATTACGGATCTTAAAAGGCAGATAACACAAATACAATAGCATGTTCCTTTATCTCTTTAAAAAACATACTTCAGAACTTACTCTTTTCTGTAAACCTGCAATTTGTTTCCTCGTTTCAACGTCTTTTCCTCCAGATTCCAGAAATTTCCTGTAAGCTAAGTCAAATGCTTGACCAATTGTTAAAGTTATCTCTTCTGCCTTTACATAAAACATAAGATTGAAATCAGTACATTAAGAATACTATATATAATTACATTAATTTCAGATGATCACAAAATACACCATGTATCATATTCAAAGGGTTTGCTTCATCCATCATGAAGTCAACACTAAAATGGAGCATGGCAAACTTCAGCAAAATACCTTGACAGAAAATGCTATTAAAGCAACTTAAAAATACTTTGGGTAAAGAAGGGAGACTGAACAGTCAGAGTACAATTAGCTAATTTTCAGTATAGATTAGGCCTCTAATTTCTGTAAAAACCGATGGCATGCTGTAGTATGTCTTTTTCTGATGAAAAACATTTTGGAGGAACACTTTTTGAGGAACACTGAGGTAACACATAATGCTACATAATTGCCTATAAATAGAAGTGAATATGAATCTTTTTCTAAAAAAAATATTGTTTCCTTAGTATCTCCTTCGTATGATATCTCAGCTACTTCAGACTAAAACAGAAAGAAGCTCCAGATTACAAAGAAAAACAACCCTAAACATCCATTTTTGGTGTTGATTCCAGTGTTTTTATTTGTTAATTACTTTCTGTCAGGGTAAGCACATAACACTGTTACAGCTAGACACCATTTTCTTCATTTCCTGCCCTAAAGTATTTTATTTTTTCTGCTATTGCACATTTTTGAACAGTTGCCCTGTTCTGTCTCAGACACGAGAGAATTGTCAGTGGTTGGTGCAATCAATTCTCTGGTAGTGCATCACGGCATTAACAAACTCGAGATGTGGTGGTGGGGTGGGCAGAGAAGGGGGAACTTTTTTGTATTAAAAAAAAATTAAAAGGAAAAAAAAAAAGATATCTGAGGCAGACACATCAGCAGAAGAGCCTGTGAGGCTCACGGCTACAGGGTTGCAGCAATCTCTGCAAAACAGCTGTGGAAATATTTCAAGTTTGGTGGGATGCAGCCTGTTCTCTGAGAGTACTGCAGATGCTTGGCCTCAGAGCGAGGCGGGCAGTAAAAAGAATTGTCCAGGAAACCACCTTAGATCAATGAAGAAAAAGGCTCTCCTTTAAATTAATGCATCTAAGTTACTGACATGAAAGATTATGTCAAAGTAACTCCAATTAACGGGCAGGCGATACTCCTTTATTAATCATTCCTGTTTTATTTCAAAGCAGACCAAAATCCGTGAGAGTCATGCTAATTTTTTTAAAGCATCTTGCATACTTACACACTTTTCACTGTCAAATACATAGCACAGATGCTTATTTGATTCTGAGTCTTTGCATATGAAAGTAAATATTCTCTTGTCAGTTTTATCATCAGCACAAAATGATATCCTATGGAGCTGACAGTTGTGCTGGACTTCCTGCAAATAAAAAGAAAGATGAATTTCAATAAACTACTATACTTGCTCAGGACAAAGATGAACAAAGTAAATCTCTGGATTTCCTCATGTACAAAAGAGCAGGCAAGCTGCAGTAACATTTTTGAATGTCTCTCAATGTATATGAGAGCTCCCAAAAATTGACTTAAAGTATAACAGAAGTTAGAAAACTCATCTCCAAACAAATGTTCCCTGAACATAAGCAGGAAGCTTTTATTTGGACAGCATTTATCTGGAAGTGTTTATTTGGACAGTAATTTCTGTTCTAGAAAATTGGTTTTACTGTTGTTTTGTGTCCCTATGCAATTTATTTAGGGACTGATTATGTAAATGTTCTTTCTCCAGGTGCACACCATCTTCAGATTTCATCATCTCCCAGGGTTTTTTTGAAATGGTTTTACTGAAATAAGTCCTTACCTTTCTATCTTAAATATAGAAAATAGAAATAAAATGACTTTGTTATCCAAATAGAGGGACACAGAGAAACAAATTAGTCGTCTAAATAATAGCTTACTTACAATATAAACAGCTTTTAAACATTATTATTTGCATATTTTAGATACTATAATCCACTTTCCATTAAAAAGCATGCTACAGCTATATAAAGAGTTGCAGCAGCAATGCTTTTCAGCTGAGAGAGCTTGACAAGACTGAAATAAACTATCTCAAGTATTTTTTTATTGTTTTTCTTCAACAAGTCTCCTCTTGGTATTTTATTTTGTTTGGCTTATTACATGGGAAAGCAGTATTTGCTTTAAAGGAAAATATGCAGTTTAGACTTGAACAATTATCTATTAAAAAAAAAAAAAGAAAGTTTCTGTGCAACACTGGGGTTCCCAGATTGCTATAAGCTCATAAACAAGGGCATGCCCTCACTGCACACAAACATTTCTTAAAAAGCAGACCACATGGGCAATCTTTTCCACCCTGGCTAGGTTCCTTTTCTCAGTCTCAACAATCTCAATAGCCATTCTTCTGCGTATCCTTTTTTTCCTATGTCCCCAAAACTCTCTCACATTTAATCTCTTTTTGTTGTAGCTGTTTAACAGATACATAACAACTCATGCTTGTTCTGGCTCCTTTATGTTTATAGATCCATGTAACCACTTTATATCTTTTAAGGACAGAACCACTTTTCTTTAATCCTCCTTTTTTAGGTGCCAAGTAGAGAAATCAAGTCCTGATACACAAGCAGACCTCCTGTTCCTACCACAATGATGACAATTAATAGTCACCACATGAATGTAAATCAATATCTAACGATATCGATTTGTTTCAAAAATGCATAAGAAAAAATATTGTAATCAGTGATGATAACACAGAATTTAAGTAATTTGCTAAAATATCTAAAAATTTTGCAAAATGAAAGAAACTTGACTCAAATTTATATTTGCATGTAGCTTTAAGAAACAAAGTGGGGAAGATAAAAAGACTACTCATAGTCAATCACCATTTGAGTTATAATAACATTGCTAAGAGATTAGAATGTTCCTATTCCCCCAGGAACTTCTGTCCCACAGCTTTCTGTTAACCTCTGCTGCAGCAGTCAGGAAGACTAACATATTTTGGCATTTAAAATTGTTGTTTTAAAACAGTTTTTGCCAGGATATGGGGTTTAGAACCCCTTTCTGCCCTATGATGTAAGAAAGATGCAAAAACTGCAATTAAAGTTGACATGGATATTTCTTGCTCCCTCTGGTTATGAAGTGTGGAATTGTCGGTGTATCAAGAGTTCGAAGCAAAAATGGGTTACAAATAGATATAGCCTTGAACGAAAGCTACCTTTTCTTAAAGGGCAGCATCACTCTATGAATGGTAGCAATTATTCCAGAATTAAGAAATAGTAACAAACAGTTCATTCAAATCCAACATTCAACATATGTACAAAAGATTTAAGAGCACTCAGATGTCGAGACTTGCTGGCTATTGAATAAACACTTTTAGCTTGATTATATTTATCTCATTAATCCTCTTTGAAGTCTGCAAGGAGGCTGTTTTGCTTACTCTATAACCCCTTCCAAAATACCACAGCAAACAATGGAACAGTAAACTCATCATAGGATGACTCAATGGACTTAACTGCTGAGAACGAAGGAATTGTCAAGCTGTGCCAGATGAAAAGCCTGCAATAGTACTTATGGTCTGCTACATGAAGCTTACAGAGAAATGCATAACACACTTGAGAAATGTGCAATTCCAAGCCAGCAGCCTGAAGCATGAGTCACTGCCAACAAATTGTCTCTTCATTCACCTGCAAACACCTACATGTGGGAACCTACACAATGGTGATGGTTTGGAAAGATGCGTTGTTCTTATGCAGCATTACTATTCATTTACCACAGTGTTTTGCACTTTCCTCAGAGTTTAAAAGTTCTGGTGTGAAAAGATTAAAACAATTAAGTCCCACCTTAGCTACAGTCTGTATATTGGAGTATCATGTACCTTCCTGGGAAGATGTCACCCATGTGTTGTAACAAGAAATCAACAGAATGTCTTTCATTAAACTACTTTTGTAAAATATAAACCAATAAAAGCATTAAATACAGTTAAAACATTATTTAATTACTAGTTTAGCCCCATAAATTTAAAAGTCTCTTACCTTTGTTTTTGGATCTAAAATTTTTACACCGTAGATTGAGATTTGTAATTCAACTTTGGGTGTTTTCTGGCCTTCAGATTTCTTGATATGTCTTGCAAACTACAAGATGAAAAATACAACAATCCCATTAATAATAAGGTTTATTTTATATTTTATTACTTCTCATTTCCTCTCAACTCCCTTCACCCGAAGTTGTTTCCCTCCTTCTTCATAAAGCTCTTATAAACAACGCTGACAATTCTCAAAGCCACAGTTGGGCACAGAACAGCATTTCTGACCGAACACTATAGAATACTCCTATAATTCAAGAAAAAATGTTTTAAAATTACTTAGCTGGTCCTCTTGAAACTTTTGTCTGCTGTTTATGCACTTAGTCAAAGCTTTTGCATGAGCTTTCTAGAACAGTTTCATGCAGTTGAATGCTTCCACAGTTTGTCAACTGCTCGGTTGTTAAGCAGTGAATATTGTTACATTTTCCATACGCCACTATTTCAACACTCCCTTCTGTACACATGCATGGAGGGTACTTCCCGTATACTCCTCCAAGAAAATCAGTTCTTTTTAACAGCATCAGTGTGAAAGCACTACATACTCGATGTCTTCTATTAACTCCTCAGGATTTCTTTGCTAACAGTTCATTAGAGGATGGCTAGGCAACATTTTATACGAGTGGGTGGGGTAATGTGCTCTATTCAAAACATCTTCCATTTTAGATCTCCTTTTCTAGCTGCTAGATCTGACCTGTCTTTCTCCCATGATTACTGCATATAAAATAAGCAGAATATCTAGAATTTGCTACTGCATGGCAGTTAAGAAGTGTCATAAATTTGGGTAACTTTCTTTGCAAAGATAAGCTAAGAATTGCTCTATATTTTGCTCAGTTACCAGCTGTTTTCCTCTCAATTCTCTGACATCCTGGAATAGTATTTTTAAATGCATAAAGACGATAACTCACTGAAGGCCAGAGGAGCTGGAGTCTCTGCTTCACAGTTGTATGTTTGAACACAACATCCTCAAACTCGCTCCCATTTAAGAAAAATTGAGCACATATTTCATCATCAGTACTTGTCAGAGATGACAATGACTTTTAGTGGCATAAAGAGTCTAGGATGTCAACAAGGGTGCTAACCTATCTTAGGAAGAATCAGACCTGGAAGGCAGAAGCCTGAATTACCTTGTGATTGTGAAGTACTTGGCTGTAGCCAACTGATACACAACCCCCCACACTCCCAACACCTAAACTCCTGATTTTAATTAATTATTTAGGTGAGAGTTGGGAGTTTAGGTTCTTGCTCTGTACCTATTCCTATGCCAATTAGTACTTGGGAAATCTTTCCATGAACTTGACTGCTTTATGCAGCATGACTCTCTCCATCTATTTTATTTCATTTTGTAAGCAGCCTGCAGGAAGCTCCATTCATGGCAAATTATTAACTAGTTTTACAAGCCATCCTAAAAGCCCATAATTAACCTGCTTTCCCTTCTTCCCAATTTTATTCCTCATTTTGAACACACTTATTGAAAACTTTAGCAACTAAATATAAATTTGTAATTAATCCTGATAACTTCATACAGTAACATGACATATCCAGTTTATTCCTGATTAATGTATCACATTAGCTGATAAGTATCACATGCTTCACAAGTTAGTTTTTTTAAAAAAGCACCAAAAAAACCCTGAAAAACCCCACCTAAACCACTCCATGCCATTCTCAAAACCAATTCTTAAATCTAAATACCCACTTTATACTTCAACAGCTAGGATTGCTCAATACTGGCTAAATATTTTATGAATGTTTGTACATGACTTACTAGTGAAAAACAGCTAGTTAAAAGTCAAGCAAATCTAACATCTACTTCTGCCTCTCTTCAGTATCATGTATATAGCTTTTGCAATACAGACATCCTTTTCCTGTCCTCCTATCTATCATCGACCCCCTTTCCCATGTCCAGAGTATGCTTTCAATACAGTTTAATGACTACCCCCATCCTTTAATTTTAATTAAGGGGGAGGTCATCTCATATGCATCTTCTTACTTAAAAAAATTAAGTAATTGTATAGAAAATAAAATTTTTAAAAACCTAATTACTGGTTTATAGGCACTTTGGCCAACAACATTTCTTGACTCTCTAAGACAATTCAAATCTGCTACAGGAAAAAAAAATAATCTTTTCTTTAATAAAAATCACTAATTAATCCCCCCCCATCTCACTCCAATTTTATATTATCAGTTTAACCTGTTTGATTCTTAAGATTCTGCTTTAAAAAAAAAACAGGAAGATGATAGGCCAAATCAGCACAGATATTTTTTCCAAAAAAGAATATAAAACTTAAATCATCTTTCAGATCATTTTCATACATTTACTTAATACCCCCAACCTGCTGCCTTTCCTTTCTGATCTGTGATTTGATTATGTCCTTTTATTGGATAAAACTTTGAGGACATATGTGGTCCTTTCTCATAATACAACAGGGCTCTGTGCTTGGCTCACTTTGCTACATGTTAAAATAGAGTGACCACAAAACCCACAGATCACCTGGCCAGTTTGACATTCTCAGTTTCCACTGTATTTTATAGTGCACAGAAGCATAGCTATGCAATAAATAATCCTGGGGCACACCTCAAATTGGAACAGTCTTGAGCTTGAGTGAACCCTGGCTTTTTTGAAATGTCTGTTTATAAACATGATGCAAGTATTTCTGTGTAGTAATGAAGAGGAGGCAGAAATAATATTTGACTTCACTGAGTGAAAGCCATAGTGTATGTTGAGAATGATCATGAAATGCTTGGTTTTCCAAGTGTAATCATCTCATCAGAGTCCCCAACAACAGCTACAACATGAAAACTTTTTAATATAAGTAGAACTTAATAACTTGCATGAGTTTTAGAACAGCTGGCCAAAGCTCGCTCCAAGTAGTCAAGAAGTTTTACAACACTGAGGAAGTTCCAGAAGATAGTTCTGTGCCAATACTAAAAAAAGGTTAAACAAAACGACCCTACCACATCTCCACTCTCAAAAGGCATAAATCAAGTTCAAGAACTAGAGAATTTAAGTGAAATGAATTAATGATGATCGATATGGATTCTACAAAAAAATGCAGCTTGTCAAAATAGACAAAAGCATTTGACTGAGTTTTGCATGCCATTACATTTAGGAAATGAAGCAATACAAAGAAAGTATTAGTTAAGTTAGTTACATTAGTCTCCAGATGCAGTTATAAACAGGAAATTGTCATTGGGAAGATATGTTTCTAATGTATTCCAGCAGGGTTTATTTCTTAAGCATGACATTATTGAACAATGACCAGGAGGAAAATAATTACTGATAAAATCTGCAGGCAGAAAAAATACAAGGAAAAAAACAGGGAGAAAAGCAACTAATGATCTGAACTTGAAAATCATTATAGAGGAAGGTTTCAGATCATGAAGGTTGATGGAGGGGCAAATAACACAGAGAATACCTCACTGACCAGAACACCAAAGATTGCCTGTATGCAAAAAAACCATCTCTGCTCCAATATCAACTTTGCAAATTATACATACGAGAACAAACTTACTTTTTCAGGTGACTACCCTGTGAAGATGGAATTAAGAAAGTCTTGATGACATGGTAGGCTTTCCAGTAACTGTGGATCTTTTCATGAAACTACAATTGGGAAGACTAATGCAATCCTTGTATTAGATCCTTAAGAAGCCAAGAATGGCTGCACTGCATCAGCTGCTTGTGAGAAACTACTCAAATGTTATGTTCTGAAGTTTTCAAATGCAGAAGGATGTTGAAAAAAAATGGAGGAAGATCACAGGATATTTGCAAAAGTTAGCAGAGGATTGGAAACCCACTTTGTAAGAAACTCAATCAAATCAAAAACAAGCTAATGGTGAAAGAAAAACCAGAAAAGAATCTCCAACACAGACATCTAGAGAGACAAACAGCTTTTTAATCAAAGGTTCACTGGGATACGATGACTGAGAAGTATGTGTAGATAAATTAAGAAAATCTGGTGCAGTTACTGTCTTAATGCTCTTCCTGACCGCTCCCTGTCCTGTGTAGTAACACATAGCATACAGATATGATCCATAATTTCTTTCGTACCTGATCTTCTCCAGAATGCCAAGTTCAGCCACCTGCCAAACTTGTGGAGGGTTTGAACAGCAGATCCTAACACCCAGTCAGGTATCAGCCAATTTGCTTTTTTTCTTCTATTTTTTATACTTACTCATTTTACCTAAGAGGACCCTTTGGAACCTCTGGATAGAGGAGATTTACAAATATTATATTATCCTATCAGCACACATTTGTAACAAAGTAGTATTTGTAGCTCCCACAGTAACAAGATTATTTAAGAGGGTAAAAATCTGTAGCCTCCCATTGGCATCAAAATGGACAATGATATAAAATTATAATGAATCACAACGTGGCTTGGGAAGAGATATGATGGGCCAAATTCTTAAGCTGTTAGTTTATACATATATTGCTCTCAGGAAAGACACCCAGATTTGGCCCAATAATAATATGAGAGGCTCAGCAGGATGAGCTAGCTTTTATTTAATGGTTTTGGAATTAACATCGTATTTTTCTTGAATCTTTTAGGGAAAGGAACAGAGACAGATAGAGCCATTTTCTATGGTTTAATTTAGCTTTAAAAAGAAAAAACTTCCATATATCTTTTCTTTTATTACAGTAACAGGGAAAATTGCATACTTTGAGACTCAGAAAAATTACATTTAAAATGTTTATGTATCAAGTCTTAGCAAACCACTATCAGAGGATTAATCAGCAAAAAAAACATGAGGAAAAAAAATCATGTTTTAAAACGGCCAGGAGCTTTAGTTAGAAAGAAATAATGGTTAAAAAAAATTCTATCAAAAAATCAATTTAAGCTATGCAAATCAAAGTTATGTGCTTTTATTTAATATTTACACCTCACTGCACCATTCAAGAGTTTATTAAAAAACCTCGAAACATCAGAGGTAGACATTTCTGTGATTTGGGTGCTAATTTTCAGCCCAGGGAATAGGAGGTCAGCTACTTCATCTTCACAGTCCGGTGAGACATCAGACATTGCACTTCACGAGGACACCTTAAAAGATGTCTCTTTGATGGCAATGTAGATGTCTATGCTGAGACACAGCTTTATACCTGGCTTTGAGACGATGCTTTTTCTCCTTTTTTCATGACATCATTCATTACAAAGAAAGATGCCGGAAAAACAAAACAGGCCCTATTTCTTTTGCAGTGACTACAAATCATCTTTTTGGTCATATTATGGTCCAAATTCTCATGCACATTTTAAGTGAGTATTATGACCTCTGAAAAATAGCTGTCAAGAGGAGGAAAAGGATGAAAAGGCCACAGATATGTGACCCTGAATCTCTTGATACCAGATGGCTAAGGAAAAAGCTGTCTCAGAAATCAATTTCTATGGAATATGTTGTATTTTCCAAACACACTCTGGACTGAGAGAAAGGCTATAGATCCGTTAACCACAGTGTAGGAGACAATGCAGTAGTCTTTTTTTCCATCTCTCACTCCCTAAAGTTGGGGTTTTTTTTATTCGACTCTGAGGAGGTGAGGTGGTGTTGGGTCCTTTTTTTTTTTTTGTCATGAGTGGGTTTTTTGTTTCATTTTTTTGGTGGTAAGAGGTTTGGGGGCAGGGTTGTTTGGGATTTTTTGTGGTGTTTTTTTTGGTTGGTTTTTGCTTGGTTTTTTTTTTTTTGGTGGTTTTTGGTTGCTTTTTTGGTTAGCTTTTGAGAGAGAGTGTAAAACAAGTATTGTCTTCTTCACCTCTTCTCATCTGATCTGCTTTGGTCTTCAAGCTGTCTTTGGCTGGTCCCAAAATATACATTCTGCTTTCTCCAGTACTTTAAAGAGAACAGTCATGGCTGTAAGGCTTGTCTTGAAACCTCTTTATCCCAATATTAATAAACTTTCTGTACTCCACCCTCCTCTGTCTTTTTCAACAACAAATGAAACTCAGCTTATAACACGAAAGGGAGCTCAACACAATATCCACTGATGGTCAATCTAGGGCAGCAGCAGGATACCATCACAGCATTTGTAGAGGCGTGTGAAAGAGCACTCTTCACTTTGTGTATCCTTACAGGTCAAGGAGCTGATGAAGATTATTTTGAGTGGCTTAAAAGTGATTAATTATATTTACAATATCTGGTCATCTCCACTTACAGAAGGAAAGAGGAGGAGAAAAGGAAATTGAGTTGGAAGTTGGGTAAGAGAACAGCTTTAAGCGTGGCCCTCACAAAAAACCATCCCTTTGAAGACTGCAAAAAGAACAGACCAAAACTCAAGTGTTTACATCAGTTTTCTCCCTAACTCCCCTCCGCACCATTTTCTTACTAGCAGCCTGAATATGCGGCCCTTTCCATCTGTTATGCTGATCTTTCAAGCTGTTCTCACCACTGGCAATGCTTCAAGCACTTTTTGAGAAGGACCAAATTCATTCCTACAGTCTGATTTAGAAGTTATAGCCTTTGTTAATCAAGGAAAGTAATCATTTCACTTTATAAAATAAAGTGCGATTTACGAACACTTACACATTTTATAGTGTAGGTGTGTTTCGACACATCTTGGTACCACTTTCCTTGGTTTTTATTTCATTCTAGAAATTAGTTTGACCATGAAACTGTTTGTAATAAATTATGAGAACAGTTCACCTAATCTTAGAAATAAAAATACACGTTTTAAAATATTAGTGTCCAACTTTCTTCTTTCTCTTGTAGCATGGCTCCAAGAAATTTGAAAACACAAGGGGTAATCCCAACTAGATAAAACCACTGGACAACCCTCTAGAAAAATTAAATATAGATGCTTCAAAAACCTGTATATTCAAATTAAAACTGTGCAAACAGCAAAAATTTTAAGTGTTTAGAAAATACAGTAGTAGTATTCAGGATAAAAAAAGTACAATGAAGCATCAAAAAAATTTCCTCCAAGTTATTATATTTTACTGTAGAGCATCAGCTCCACCTGCTGGTAAAAGTAAGTTCAGGGAATGGCGTGCTACAGTTTTGCACAAACCTGCTTGATAAGCAAAGAGTCTTTGTGATGTATGAGTTAAGATCTTTTGATTTAAAGAAATAAAAAGTTGTGTATCAAATATCTATTCTGATACAGTTTGATGACATGATGGCTTAAGAAAAATAGTTTACAGTAACAATATTTCAAAAGGTTATTGGTGCGATATACGTTGGAAAAATGGCTCCAAATATTAAGAGTCAGCTGTTTTTCTGCTAGCTATTAATTTTCATGAAAAACAAATTATGATTAACATTGTGACTAAAACCAAATCCATATAATAATAACAAATATCTAAATATAGGATTATAAGCTACACATCTTAAAAACTCTCCTACTCCAAAAACCACTACAAGTTTACTTTCAAAATAAGAGATTAGTTTTCAAAATGTTTTAACTGTTTTAAAAATTTTAATTAACATTTTCTAAATCCAAGTGAGTGGTGTGTGATTAATAATAAAATCCAGCAGCTCTAGGCTTCTCTTCAAAGAATTCAGATGCACAACATAAATCAATGTTGAAATGAGTATTCAATTAATTGAGGATTGTTTCAAACAGAAAACCTCTTCATTGCTCTCTGAATTCTGTTCCAAGGTTTTTCAAGCCTTTCCAAAGGTTGTCTTTAATTACCTCGTGAGTTTTCTAATAAACTTGTGTTTATATAAGTTTCCATGCAATATCTAAGCTCCAAACTTCCAAGCTTGAAAAAACAGTGTAATTCTGGCAGCAATGATTCAGACACATATCTCCAAGCCAGTTTATTTAGGGAACGTATGTACAAAGTTAGAACAGATACCTACATACTCCAACAAGTACATAAAAAAAATTACTACTTTTAAATTTTAGTGCTAGGCTGACAAATGAAAATAGTTCTGGTTCTTCCTACACTTCAGAGAACAGTTATTTGAAATCCTTTTTGGACCCACTTTCAGAGTAAACTATTTCAAAGTACCAAATCACACAGTCCAACCCACCCAAACCCTCCAGTGATCAGTGAGGGCCCAGGTTAACCTGGAGTTCGACCAGTGAGATGGAGACACTTAGCAGTTGCTTTGCTTAGGGGGAGTCTGATAAAACATCAGTAAAACAGAATCAAAACTTCTCCACAGCAGGATATTATCTTGACAGATTTCTGCAAAGAATTAACTTTTCTCAGGGTAATGGAATTTTATAAAGAGAAAACATCTAACATAACAGGCTTCACTCCAGTATCAGCTGTAAATTGTACGAGGTGCACACAAAACCATACATTTTGTTTCCATTGATAGCATGCTACAATGGTTTAAAAACAATCATACTTACATTAGCCTAAACCACTTGAAAACAACTAGACAACAATGCCTCTGATGAACTGCAGCAGAGTAAATCTTTTTTGGCATAAAACATACTAAGAACTGACTAAATGAATCTTTAAAGGCAGCTATACTATTTCGGTAGAGTGAATATAATGGCAAAGAACTCCTGTTTTCAATACCTTAACACAATTACTAATCAATCTTGTAAAGCTGGGTTTTTCAAGGGAAACCTTAGTCCTAAAAGCTGAGCTACAAAGTAGTGTTTCATGCCTTCTTTTTTCCTTTTTTATGATAGAAATAACACAGAATAAAATTTTTCAATATTGACTTCCAAAATTTTATGTCCATTTCCAAGAAACTTATTTTTAAGTGAATAATGTAAACACTACAGAAAGTTATGGAAAGTACAACAATAGGCAGAACAATCGTTACATCTAAATAAACTAATGCTACAATAGCTCTAAGCAGCTAAGCAGGAAGCAGTGCAATTCCACAGCAGTGAGTTAGGAGACAAATCAAATCAGCATTCCCTACCACAACTCATAGCATTTGAAGAGCTTTATGCATATTATCTGTCACTCAAACAGTCAAGCCAAAGCCATGCCATCAGTAACCCTCAACATCTCATTTCACTAGGATACTTTCTAATTGTCTACCGAGTCCCTCAGTGCCCAAGGACATATAACCAAGAAGAATTTGTAAACATCTGATTTTCTCGGGGGTTTGTGCACACAGACCTTTTCAAACGAGATATGAAGACCTGGAGGACAAGGCAGTAATGCCCCTTGTCATGAACAGGCTGGGTTTGTAAACGCTATTTTCTCACTACAGCTCCATTTCCAGATACATCACCAATTATCACAGCTGGAGGCTGGAAGACATTCACACTAGTGTCACAAACCTTCACCTCCAGTCCCACAGTCAGTTTATGTGGATCAGACACATTAGCTTTAGATGGAGAGCAGTCAGGGACAGCCAATACCCACAGAGCTATCACAGCCCACTTACAGCATTGTTTGACATTCTTACTCCTGTTCTCTGGCACCAACAGTTTCCCTTAACTGAGTGGGTATTCCATGTCTTGCAACAAGAGGCAACTCACCTAACTGGGGCTCATAGCAAGCAACACACAGCCCAGAGAAACACAGGACTGGCATTACTGAAGCATTACTGGCATTACTAGTTTTTTGGTCAAGGAAGAGTTTGTGTTCTTAAATTCTCTGGTAACACGTTTGGTGTGCCATAATTAGAGGCATTCAATAGCTATAAAGTGACGATGGCAGCTAAAACAAATTGTTGCTACTTAAGTTTGTACCAATGAAGCCCTAAAGTTTCCAAAGAACAAGCATTACACATTAAGGTATATAAGGTACATAAACTTTATACTATAAATATTTGTATCATCTAGGAGACAACTAAATATTTGCACAGCAGAACATCTGACACTAAGGACGTAATAGGGAGGGCCTACACACCAGTTAAGAGATTAGTAAAAGCAACTGCTAGTATATCCAGTGAATTTATTTATTTATTTATTTACGAAGTGTCCCATCTGTGAAAACAAGTTAGGAACACATTCTATTTTTATTTCATTAAAAATTCTTTCTTACCTTTAATTTTCTAACAGCATCTCTTACAACTTCTGTGCCTTTGGGCTGCTCCACTTCTGTACTGCCAAGAAACTGAAAAGATTGTAGTTTGTGAGAAATAAGGTATGCACTGAAAAGCCTAATTAACTCACGTAATCTTATTTTCCAATTATTTCCAAATAACATTTTGGAAAGATAATTGTTTCAATAGTTGATAAATAACAAATGTTCATGCAGCTATTTCTAATAAAGAGAATAACAAGAATTAAATACTAATTAGACAAATATGAGTTATCAAAAGCAGCTTTTAAAAACCATTGTATTTATCTCAGTCTTATACAAGTCTGTAAAATAGAGGTTAAGTACCTTTTTTCCATGAGGAAATTGTCATTTTGGTAATATAATTTCTTTTGGAAAATAATGAAAAAATGCAAAAAAAACCCCCTGAAATATGATACTTCCCAGGAATCACCAAGAGCCAATAGTTTGGATTATCTTACTAAAACTTTCATACAGTAATGCAAGATAAATTAAAAAGGCCTGATTTTGATCTCAGAGCTGCTTGGTACAGTAATTTCATAGATTTAAAGGAACTAGGCTCTAACTTACATAAAAACAAAGCCCACATTCAAAGGATTTCTACTAGAGATCATATTTTTACTGAGTAAGGTTTTAATGAAAACCAAACGTACAGCTGTTAATATATGAAGCACGATACTTCAACAGGACCTTACCATTTCTTTATTTTTACACTGAAATGCCTTTACAGTCTTCCATACAGTTTTGCTTGCTTTGTACTATACTGTTATGAAAGGTAGGATAATCCTGCCTGGATTGCATCTAAGTAATAATTTAATTAATTTTCAATTGCCTGATTTTCACATTGAGGTACAGCTGATTTAAGTCACACCATTTACCTGTATACACCAAAACGCTAGCAAGAAAGAACAAACCCCCTTTTTTCTCTAACATACACAATTTTCTGTATAAAATGACACACAGAGGTATGTATAATTTTTAACTCTCAGTAGTTTCAATAGGAACTTAAATTTGCCAAGCTACAGATGCTTTCAACATAGTAACTCTGGAGTTTCTAATTTTATTAAAACTTCAAACTTGTCTACTGTAGTCAATGTGCGCAAGCTGTACTCCTGCAAAGAAACTTTGCAGCTCTACCAATAATTAAGTCTCATTAGAAATCTGCTACTGACTCTGAAATATGATGTGCCATCTTGAACACAATAGTATGTAAATCAAAACACCAGGCACATCTGCTGTCAATATTTCCTACTATAACAATTGTCTAGACAGGAGATCAATGTTTTCTAATAACAATGCAGAAATCTCTATTATTGATTTGATGTCTTTCATGCAACATCTCCGATGACTTTAAACAGTGGGTATGTTCTTCCCTGGAAAAGTGACAGTTGAAGAAAATGCATACAGAGAAAGAAGAATGATTCTTGGACATTATTGATAAAACATATGACAGAAACAGAAAGGGTAAGGTGAGTGAATATATGTGAGCAAATGTATGCAAGTAAAAATAAATAAATAAAGGTAACCACAAGCTTAAATGGACAAGAAAGAAAGTAGATAAGGTCAGATGAGAATCTAAGAGGAACGTTCGTAATACCAGATATCTGTACTCCAGCATATTTATACACCATACACTTGGCACAGCACAAGAGGTAGAAGTGTAATTTCTGTAGTTTGTGAGCAGGCCAGGGTACGTTACATACCATACAGGACTCCTGCATAAACACAGGAAATAACAGCTGCAAGTGTGGATAAGGCTCGACGAACAGAAAACGCAGGTCACTGCTGCCCACAGTGAAGTGGAAGATGGCGGCATATAATTCATCCACACATACTTCCTAATATTTTTATAGTTTTGAAACTTGTAGCTCCAGAGGCATTACCTATGTAAGCAGCCTGGTATTTCTTGCTACACATTGAGGGCTGGACCTTGGGTGGAATCGTGTTGAGCACACTCCTAGGTGCACTGTCTTCCAGGTATCAGTGTTGACAGTAAGCATCACTACTGAAATTTTTATTATTTTCAGTAGTTTTGAACGGAATGTGGAATTAGAGCTTATGCTTAATAAAATACACAGTAAATACAGTAAAATGCATTTAATCCATAAATACAAAGGAGATTTGTAGTGTGTTAATATCCAGGATGATGAGACCATGCCATGGTTTGGAACGTTTGTATCCGATATATGTTTTTATCTCTTAACTGCAGCTCCTTTTTTTTTTTTTTTTTTTTTTATTCAGGTAAACTCATATTTTAGTCATAACTGCTTACACATTTCATGCCTGAGCTTAATAAGCTTTCTCATTTTATTTATTTATTTGTTTGTTGTAAGACAAGGATAAACAGAAAAACAGCAATTAAGAGCAATTATTCTGAATATTTGCTTTAATTAGACTGATCTATTTGGGGACAAAATACTGAAAGAATATCAAAATGAAGATGATTTCTTTTCTAATTACAACAAAAGAATGACTGTGCAATATAGGTTTAACGTATAGCTAATGTATTAAGTCCAAGCTGTTTATTGTTTGCTCTTGCATCTGCTCTGTACCTTTTCTGTGTGATCTGCCCTATCATTGTAGTTTGTTTAATATTAGGTACCCGTTACTATGGCATTAGTTGCACTAGTTAAGCTAAGCAAACACAGATACATTTCCAAAACTGAGACTTTAGATGACAAGCTCAATGTGACAAAGGCCTCTGTGTTTGTATAATCCCTAACACAGAATGGATGCACTGCCACCTCCGGGATTTCTAAAGTAAATAACTAACAACTAATTCACCATCCTCATGAAATGGGGAGACAGCCATTTCATCACGGTCTTTTTAGCAGATTTTTCTCACCAAATCTCACACAAACACAGAGAACAAATATTTTTTCTATCAGGAATTCAGAACAGCTGTGGCATGAATAGTATAAATATTAATTGTGGAAGAGTACAAAAAAATTTCAAAGCAAAATTGGTAAATAAGAAACTTCCCTTTTCAAGATCAGGCTGCTTCAGAAAGCAGTACTGATGCAGAATCTTAGATGGGAACTATAAAAGTCAGCGATTGCTTTGATCACTTCAGGTTCCCTCCTGCAGCTATGCCCCCTTTTGCAGACCCAGCTGATGAGAAACAACAACAACAACATGAAATATAACTGTTCATGAGAGCCAACCTAATACAACTCCTATATTTAATCGCAGAAGAGAAAAACAGAAAATAATGCAGCAGTTCCCCTCCAGATCATTCAGTGTTAATCCCATATGCAATTTAATAAATGCATTATATTCTTAAGTGTCCAGTAACACCACATACGTAATATGAATGATGTCTACACATGATTGTTACATATATTTACTGTTTGCATCTAGTAAAAAGGTTAGTCTTGGTGTACTTCATGCATAATAAGCCAATTCAAACAAAAATGCCCAGTAAGTTAGGAATGCCACTAGACTCATATTTTAAAATATTTATGTATTGTCTAGTACTAATGAGAAGTTCACCACAATTGGTTGGATAGTTTAAGAATTTTGAAGAGGATGACATTTAATTTTTTTGTGTAAGATAAAGCACGCTAAGGCAATGTTTCTTCCATATAAATAACTACACATTTTTTACTGCAGACCTTTTTTCAGGTCAACAGATCTTATCAGTCAAAACAGTTTATCTGTTCCTTTGAAGTATACTAAGGTTTGTTCTTCCCTCATTGATGTTTGCCATTAACAAAGTGAGCTGTTGAACAGCCATATACAAGACATACACCTCAGATCAAACTATTTATAATCTAATATTAGCAGACAACCAGATGTGCTCGCTCCACATGCAAAGATTTGTAAGATAGTGCAGCTGCAGAGAATTAACAGACACCATTTCATCTTATTAGAATCAACAGAAGTTTTATCATTGACAGTGACTGGGAGACTAATTCAGCCCCAAGATGGCCAGGAGGGCTGTTTTACACAACAAACTAGTAAACAGACCCTTTGTGGGGAATACCTCTTCCATCAGAATGTAGCTGAAATGAAAATTTTGCTGCGCATTTAACTTGAGCAAGACATGTTTTGGTCCCATTCCACAGTCAAATCATTAAAAATGTTTTCAAACTGCATTTTGGCTGGAGAAACTATTTTTTTTAATAGTTTTAATAATTTTAAAAGCAAGGTAAGTCTTTTCTACTTTTATTTTGCTGGCTCAATTTGAAGTCAAGTCAAACGTAGGGCAATTTCAGGCATTCAGAATCCTTTAGAGTACTGACAAGTCTACTGCAGTTACCACATACCCATTAGCTATTAGTAAGGTCAGGTGAATTGTTAAGGTTAACAGTTCACTTTCTTCCTTTCCATTAACAATACACTCCAGTAATTCTTCCCCCATCAGCTTACACATTTTGACCCCCAAATTTCTGCCTTTTTTTTTTTTTTTTCCCACGTGTGAAGTATATGCAGGTGCCTTTCTTCAAAACTTAGGGGGAATACAAGAAACCCTACTCAACCTTTGGAAAAGTAAGTTTTACTAGGGTCAAAATAATCCATAAACCTAAAACTTGACTAAGAAGCAGTTTTAGGTGCACTTTTGAATATTTAACGTAGACTTCCACTCTTCCAGTAGAGAGCAGTGTAGGATATTTTAATAGAAAAACAACATCTGTTTTCTTTTGTCATCACATTTCAATCTTTAAAAAAAAAATCAGTCTTTCACAGTGCAACATTTCTTTATTGCTCTGATATCCCTGCATATTAAAAGTTCGCCTTTATGCGGATTTAAATGCAATTTTATGAAAAAAATACTTACCAAACTCATAAAATAAAGAGATTAAAAAGCAATGCAAAATTACTGGGTACCTGCTGCCAAAATTTGACAAATTAGCTCCTTCTATAGCAGAAGCTGAAGGGATGTTGATTTACTGATGAAAGGAAGACAAATGTATCCACATTCTGATAACATTAGAGTGACAGTATATAATATAAAATGAGAATGAAAGAGAAGTAGGACCAGGTTTGAAGCTATGCAGGAAACAGCTTAACAAATGCCTAAGCTGTTAATCACTTCAGGGTTTTTTTTCAGC